AGATCTGTGTAATGAATCATGGGTTTAGGAGAACTCCAGGCCAAGCTCCTGTCAACAAACCACCACCACCCTTACCGCAGTCACATAACCTAGCTTGGCTGTCTAGTTTTGTCAGGTAAAAATCATCAGGAAACAAATCAGCTTTGGAAGTTTCCAGGAGACATTCAGACTTTAAACAATACATCATCAATCTCACTGCTTATTTATGGAATAAAAGTCAGTGCCAGACATTCAGGTATCACGAGAGCTTTCCCAGTCCAGCGGTAAATAAACTCTATGCTACACAGTTCCTGACAACTTAATCTAATAAAAGGCAAAGTGATATAGCTACATTTGCATAAACTACAGTTAAATTTATAGAGTGCTTTAAATATTCATTAACTTATTTGAACTTTATGATAATTCTGTGAGCTATGTGGGAACATTGTTTTTATTTACGTTTAACAAATGTCAATACTGAGTCAGAGAGGCCAGCTTTTGTAGAGTAAATAGGCCTTCTGACTTTCATTCTAGAATTGTTTCTCAGTGTTTCATATCTGAACTAGATATAAAACCTATTTACTTATTTGCTAACTGTCCTAGAACAACATGGAAATGAATAAGTGTATGTACTACTACTACTACTTATTCTCCCCTCAAAACCATATTTGTGTTTCACATTTTTCATTTCTTGTTTATTTGTTTTGTTTGTAGTAGTACTGGAGATTGAACCCAGGGCTTTAGACAAACTTTGTACCACAAAGCTGCTTACCTAGCACTGAATATTTTACCTTTTAATGACTTACAAATTAGGCATAAATCCAGTGCCTGTTTTATTGGGAGGGGTGCTTTTGTTATTTACTTACATAGTAAAAGATTCTTGTTCAGAGAAATACAAGATAATGTTTAGCTGGAAGAATGGTTTACAAAATTATTATTCTAGGATTTCCACACATGAATAGTCAACTTGAATGTGTAAAATATACAGATAAGATATAGTTATGTCTATAAGTACTGTTCTCTCTCCCTCTTTATTCTTTCCTTCTTTTACTCGTTCTTAAATTCATTCAGGATACATTCTCTTATCTGCTGTGTCCTAGGAACTGTGTTACCTCCTGAGGGTTAAAAATTAATAAGATGTGATCTTTGTGCTTAATTATCTTATGTTCTATTTTTATGAATTCGTAATTCTACAAAGGAGAATCCATATAGTATTGATTAAAGTGTGATTTTAATAATGTAGAAAATATCACCTGTATTAAAGATTATAATTATAGGCTCTTTTGCCTAGAGAAGCTGGTGAAGATTTGAGATGGAGAGTCTTTTGAAGCAAGTCAAATTTTGGGGAATTTGTCAGAAAAAGAGGGAAAAGACTAGTCCAATCAAACGTGAAAAAAATGTGTTTATGGGTTATTATTTGCATATTCTCTTATACCTGAAACATGAATTACTTGGGAGGAAATTGCTAGGAGATGAGACTCTTGGGGGCTGGACAACAACTGGCCTTGTATGTTATATGGAGGAATGTAGACTTTATGGCAAAAACATGAAATTAAAAGTTTTTCCAGTTTGACTGGAAGGCCAGAAATCATTTTTAACAGGAATTTTTATTATGAGGTAACTATTTTTCCCCAGATAAGATGTGTTATAGAGAATTTAGAGTAATTCTGAGAAGTAACGTTGGAGCTAAAGATTGGGCCATAGAAATGGAAATAGAATACTTGATTCAGAGACAGTTCAGAAGTTGACTCATTAGAAAAGTTAGATGGAAATCAGAAAAGAATCTATTGTAGAATTTTGGTCTTGGTGGATAACCTAATTCACCTCTCTGTTGTTAGACATAAGGTCTTTGAGACAGTCTGTGGTCAAGTGAATTGCATTACTAATTACCGACAGAACTGGTTTCCCAACTTTTTACACTTTGCTTCCTCTTTGTTTCCAACATATTTTTTCTCTTTGATTATTCTCTCAGTTTATGTTTGCTTACACTGAACAGGGAACTTTATATTACCTGTTTTGACTTGTTTAGAACAAGCAATATTATAACCTTTCTGAACATAGGAAAATGAAGTACTGAACCAAGTATTCAGAATTTTCTCAGCTTTATCATCACCTCATAAATATCCTATTAAGAATTTCCTTTTTAAATATATAGGATTTTATAACTGATAGTTTTATTTATTAAGTTATATAGTACATATACTCCTGGAATTACCTCCAAGTTTAAAGTAGATTTTACAGCTGTGCGTAGTGTTGCACATCTGTAATACCAGCACTCTGGAGGCTGAGGCAGGAGGATCACTGGGAGTTCAAGGCCAGCCTGGGCTACATAGTGAGTTCAAGGCCAGCCTGAACTACCTAGAGAAGACCCTGTCTCAAAAAACAAAAAAGTAAAGTAGATTTTACATGTATCAATATAAGGTGGTTTTGCTTTTGGTTTCTGTTTTCTCATTTGGTGAATCATTTGTCAAGTGAAAAAATATGTTTTCATTTTAAAATTTTTATAATCTGGTTTTATTTAAAGCTCACCATTTTCTTAAATGGTTAATCTCAAAATATTCTGAGGACCAATTTTTGATGATAGTATATAACAGAGGATTCTGTTTAAATACCAGTTTCATCACTTACTGCAAAGCCTTGGGTATTTAGTGAGCCTATATCAACTCACTCATCTTCAGTATTATATAATAATAATACATAATTCACATTTACCATAAGTGTTGAGATGATTGCAAAGCATTTATAACAGTTCCCAAAACTTAATAACTAATTGAGAGGCATTATTAACTGTTATTAAACTTATTTTATATTGTTTGATGCTAATGATAATGTAGTTATAAATACTGTTAGAGTCAAAAGGAAATGAATTAACATTTTCTTGTAAATTTTGGGTTAAGTAATTTCTGTGAGTTCAATGGAACTAATATGATTTTTATTTTAATACATTCATAAAATATAATTAAGAAATAAAAGACGATAGTTCTTAAAGTAAAATTACTTTCTTCCTAAAAGTGTTCTTTATTTTGAAGTGATCTAGATTCATGCTTACTGATTCATTAGTAAATTGAAATCTTTTTTCTGTTTTAGAAAGTCTTATTCTAAAATCATTTCCTCTGAGAGATCAAGATGTTGAAGCATACTTGATTTTGTAAAAATGCCAAAATTTTTCTATTTTGTCCTATAGTGTAACAGGATAGTCTCTGAGAAAGTAAATATATTACCATGGGATGAATGTTTTGTTTTTATTTTTTCTTTTTGGTACTGGGGATCAAACTCGGGACCTTATGCTTGTGAGGTAGGCGTGGTGCCACTGAGCTAAATCCCTGGCTGGATGTTTTACTTTATTATATTAAGGAGTTATATAATACATACTTAAGGAGTGATAAAGGCATTGAAGCTTTCATTCATGGAAAGGCCAATTGACAATATTTTTCTAACTATAAATTCAAGAAATTATAGACATAAGTATATTCTATATAGTATACTTGCTATGTAATTTCTAAAGATGATTAAGTTCTTTTCTTCAATGAAATACTTTGAGTTATTTATATATTAACCACTTAACAGTTTACCCCAAGTGTCAGTTGAGCAACACATTTGTTTACATACTATCCCAAGTGTCACTCAGGCAGGTGTCATTTCAAAGAGTCAGTTCATGTTTGCATGAGATACACTCATTTGTCCATTTGTTTTATGTCAACTGTTTTTTGCATACATTTTATTTAGAATGTTGTCTTTGCCTTTGATGTTGTTTCTAGTGAAATCTAATAATAAGTTCTGGTTATTTTCTTTTACTAATTCATGTTTAGTTTATTTGTTTTTAAAAAACCTATAATTTTTGTGCTACAATCTATAAAAAGTCTTATCATAAGTACATTAGATATAACTTTTGTACTTCTCCAGAACTCAGTGATGTTCTTTTACAATACAAAGAGAACACATTTGGGACACTGAGACTGAGTAGGAAAGAAATGCCAAAAAATCTGAAAAAGAAAAAAAGTTAGCATATCAAAAAGGAAAAGTCTGTGTTATGAAATGGAAAGACAAAGAAGATGTCTCCTTATTGTCAACTGTTCATAATACAGAAATGATAGAACGTGAAAAGAAACAAAATTTTTTTGTTTTCCAGTACCGGGGATCAAACTCGGGTCCTTGCACTTGCAAGGCAGGCGGCAGATCCATTGAGCTAAATCCCTGGTCCGAAGAAATAAAATTTTTAAAACTCCAATAGTGGTCAGTGATTATAATTCTACGGGTGGTGTTGACAAAGTTGACCAACGATTAACAAGCTACCCTATAATCAAAAAGCGAGGAAATATATTATTATAAAATATTTATGCACCTTCTGGACAGACAATGTGGAATTTGTTTGTTATTTATTCAAAACAGGGGTGTTTGGAATCATTTATAATTTAGATTAGGTCTAATAGACCAAATAATTGAAAAATATGCCATAGTAAAATGCCAACCAGGATGTCCATCATCAACTTCTTACCATTACGTTTAGTGGGTAGACATTTTATTGAAATTATACCACACACAGAAAAAAAAGAAGGCCAGTATGACAGTGTAAAGTGTGTATTAGTCAAAGAAAAACAATAATGCAAAAAGAATTCGGAAAGAGACCAGATACTACTGTCCAGACTATAATGTTGCATTGTGTCTTGAGTGTTTTAAGATATACCATACACAGAAAAACTATTGAATAAATTTGATAAAATTGTCATTTTTATATTTCCTGTTATATTATCTAATAAAAATTAACAAAAAATGCAATTTTTGGTCATCTTGTATTTAAATAATTGGACTGGTAAGTGATTAAAATAATTTTTTCAATTAAATATTAATTAGCTATATATTTCCTCTTTACTCTTTAACATCCTCTTGTTAGTAGTAAATATCTCAGAATTTTAGATACAAATTTAGGTACATAGAGTAATGATTTACCAAATTTGGATTTCTAATTTTTTTATTTTTTATGACTATAAGAACAGTGTACATTAATTTACTTTCCTTTTTAGGCAAGCCAAGTTAGATCTGAGAGTTTCAGTAGCAAAAGGAGAAGAGTTAATAAAAGTGACTGAAGATCTGCAGGGACAAATGCAAAAGAAGGTACTTTCTATTTCTAAGACAATAGGATGTTTGTGTCTTTATTTCTATGTTTATTTTGGAGCAGGTATTAAAGAAGGTTTTTAGAAGTTTTTTTTTTTTTTTTTTGGTACCAGGGATTGGACTCAGGAGCTTGCGCTTGTGAGGCAGGTGGCAGAACCACTGAGCTAAATCCCCGGCCCTTTAGAAGATATTTTATTGATCCTTAAATATAAAATATGAAAGTAGTAGGTTAAATTATAATATTGGAAAAACTGTATCAGAAAAATTCTATTTCCATCCACGTTAGCCTAATTCAATGAAACATAATCATCCCTAAGCACATCATTAGTGAAATATAGATTAAGGTCAAATTTTCAAATTGGTTGTATGCAAATAGAAAGTAAGCATTTAATAATGTATTTTATTATTTATAAAGTAGTTATTGGCATTCAATAACAGATTCTTTTTATATGTCAGAGAGAAATTTTAGGAAGATGTTAAGGAAAAGTCAAGATTTAGATGGATCTAATTATTAAAAATTCTCTGTAACTTTTTAAGCTTTATTTCCTGATCTCTAAAAAGTTAAGTATGGATCTCCAATAGTGAAAGATTTGTGAAGCGATTACAAGAACCCTCCCATAGAAAACAGTTTAAAAAATTGGGTAATTTTTTATAAACTAGAAACATTCAAAGCTGAAAAGAAAGAGGTAAGAATTGTTAGGTAAAAACTGATCTGGTTATTCTCCCAATCCTCATAGCAAAGGCTTCAGAAAACAACAGCTTTAAATGGGCATAAGGTACTCATGATCAAAGTTTCAGTCTAGGAAAGCAGTTGGAAATTTAATAAGAAAAAACCTGGAATAAGAGAACCACGTAAAAAATGAAAATCTTACTAGGCCTGTGCCTAAGAGCCAAATAATCCACATGGGGTTTGGGGACAACCCCAGGGAGTTCAATAAAGAATCAGGCAGAAATCTGAGAAAATTTACTCTGGAAAGATATATGTATATGTGAAACTAGATATTTGAGTTTGCTGTATTTTATGAGTGAGTACAGGGCCGGGGATTTAGCTCAGTGGTTCCACTACCTGCCTCGCAAGTGCAAGGACCCGAGTTCAATCCCCAGTACCAAAAAAATAAAATAAAATAAAAAAATATGATTGAATACATTCTAGATATATGTAAAAGTTGAGCAGCAGAAAACTGAAGATACATCACTTGACATATCAGAGGGCAGACCACCCAAAGCTGGAAATTAGAAGAGACTCTCTAGCAGCAAGGAAGTCACAAAGAAAGTGAACCCTACTTCTTTGCAAATCTGGACTGATTCTCAAATTATGCAGGCACAGATAATTCCCTAGGAACCTAGCTGCTGCATATTGTAGTAGGAACAGATTTCAGAGTTCAGATCCAAGCAAGATAATTTCCTACTTGAACAACAACCAAAAAAACAAACAAACCATAATCCTCAAAAGAACAAATCAAAAATTTAGTGTAACTTCAGTATATTATCTAAAAAGTTCAGCTTTTAACCAAAAATTACTAGATAAGAAAGTATGGTCTATACATGTTAGGGAAAGATTAGGGGGATAAAGGAGAAGCTTTCAGTAGAAATTCTCAGTGGGCCCAGCTGTTGGAGTTAGCAAGAACAGACTTCAAATCAGCTATTATAAATATATTCAAGGAATTTTAAAAGTCTGATTAGATAGAAATTTCCTTCTACCAAAAGAAAACAGTTAAAATATTGAAGAGATCTTCGGTGTATTAGCTTTCCTGTTACTGGACAAAATACTTGATCCAACTTAAAGGAGGAAAGGTTTAATATGTCTCATGGTTTGGCAGATTCATCCCATAGTCAGCTGGCTCCAAGGCAGGGACGTCATGGCGAAGAGCCTGGCAGAACAAAGATGCTTAGTTTATAATCACCAGGAAGTTGGAGCAGAGAAACAGCACCAGAGAAGAAGGGGTAAGAGACATAGATCACAAGCTGTGCCTCCATTGACCCACCCGGACACACCCTGAAGTGTACTTCACCAATCCTCAGGGGATCCCAAAGCCAATCAAGTTGAAACTTGACCTTAACAGCCCTGGCCCCTTCTTTAATATATTTTAAAAATGGGGTGTTGTGGGGCCAGGGATTTAGCTCAGTGGCACTGTGCCTGCCTGGCAAGTGCAAGGTCCTGAGTTTGATCTCTGGTGCTGAAAGGAAAAAAAAAAAGGGAAAAAATAATTTTAAAAAATATTGAAGAGCTGTAATAATTAAAACAGCATGATATTGGCATGAAAACAGACAAACAGTCCAGTGGAAAGAATAAAGGACCCAGAAAATGAACCTACACAGCCACAGCCATCTGATTCTCCATAAGGCTCCAAAAAATACATTGGATGAAAGATACCTTCTTTAAAACAGTAGTAGGAAAACTGGATATACATATGTAGAAGATTGAAATGAGATCCCTATCTTTTACCCTATGAAAAAATCAACTCAAAATGGATCAATGACCTAAGTGTAAAATAAAACTACATTGAGATTCCATCTCTCCCAGTCAGAATGGCTATCATCAAGAATACAAAAAATAATTAATTGTGATGAGGATGCAGGGAAAAAGCAATCATTATACACTATTATAAACAAGTACAGCAACTATGGAAATTAGATATTGGAGTTTCCTTAAAAAACTAAAAATTAAGCTATCATTTGAACTAGCTATATTACTCAGTATATACCAGAAGGAATTAAAGTTAACTGTGTGTGTGTGTGTTTGTGTGTATTTCAGCCATAAGAATGAAATCATGGGACCAGGGATTTAGCTCAGTGGTTCTGCCACTTGCCTTGCAAGTGCAAGGACCCAAGTTCGATCCCTGGTAACCAAAAAAAAAAAGAATGAAATCATGTCATTTGCAGAAAAATGGATGGAACTGGAGATCATTACATTAAGCAGAATAAGCGGAACTCAGAAAGACAAGTATCACATTTTCCCTCACATATGGAATCTAGAAAAAGAAAAAAAAGATGACATGATAACAGAAGAGAGATTATTAGACAAGAGGAAGGAGATCAAAGGGAAGAAGGAGGGAAGGCAAGGGAAGGTAACTGAGGGATTGGAATAAAAGAAACTGTATATTAGTCATTTTCCCATCTCTGGACACAATACCTGATACCCCCAACCTAAAGAAAGATAGGTTTATTTGACTCAGTTTCAGCCCATGGTCAGCTGCCTCCAAGGCAGAAACAAGATAGCAGAGAGGCATTGTAGAGGACAAGGCAGCCGGTAAACAGAGAGAGAAGGGAGCCAAGGACAAGAATATACTTTTCCAGGTCACCCCTCACCCAAGTGACCTATTTTCATCGAGGTCTCATCTCCTAACAATATGTTTAGCTACTGAACCCATCAGTAGATTAGTCCATTGATGACTACAATGTACCCATGATCCAGTCACCTTCCAAACACATGAGGCAGTGGTGGGGACATTTAATATCTAAACTGTACCGTTTCACCCCAGCCCCCCAAAAGGCTCATGTCTTTCTTATTAAGTACAGTGCACTTAGTCCATCTGTAAGAGTCATGAGCAGGACATCCTGGGGTTCTCTTTTCAAATGAAAGCTTAACAGTTCTGTACCCCTGTGCCAGCAAAGGGTGGGGACTTTTTAATGCTTCAGAAGCTTTCAAGCCATCTTTTCTATTGTTCTGATGCAAAGTACTTGGCTTCTTTTTAATGCTAATCTTTTTCACAAACAAGCTCTCTATGGCCCAAACATTGAAGGATCTTCCTTTCTGTTGAAACTCCAAACTTCTCACAACTTTTGTCTCTAATATTTGCTCAGGTTTCCACTGTTGATTAGCTAAAGTCACCCAGCAATACCCATGCCACAGCCTGAACATCGGGCTGCTTTGAAATTTCCTCCACCAGATTAACTGGGCTGTCACCCTTAATTTCAGTCTCCCACAAAGTCTCAGGAAATAGGCAAAATACAAACAGATTTTTCTGCCAGAGTGTAACACACATAGCCTCCAGTCCAAATGCTAATAGAGACCTTGTTCCCATTTGAAACCTCCTGAACCTGGCCTTTTCTGTCTTCATCTATCAGCGTTGTTGTCTTCTGAGCTGCAACCAGAATCTCTCATCAAGCTTGGCTTATATCCTTCTAGGGCTTCTCTGGCTAACATCTCTAAACCTTTCCAAACTCTTCCCATGAAAAATTTCCAAAGAATTCTAAACCACATGGTCAGATATAGTCAGAGCAATGACATTTATTTCTCTGGTTTTGTCTTAGCAAAAAAAAAAAAAAAAATGTTTTTTGGAAGTACAAAACATTGGAATAATATATTCTAAGTGCTAAAGGGAAAAGAAGGCTCACTAAGAATTCTATGTCCAGTAAAACTATATTTTTGAAATTGAGGTTAAAAAAAACATTTTTGAATAAACAGAAATAGAATTTATTCCCACTAGGCCTGCATTTTTTTAAATTCTAAAGGAAGTTTTTTAGGCACTAGAAAGGAAATGGAACTAGATGGCAACTATAGGAATTAAGAGTAACAACTGGGAGGAAATCATACATGTGCATTTTTTCACTTAATATATTTAAAAGAAATGACTACTTACAACAGAATTAACCCTATTTAATGACAAATTTTTAAAGTATATAGATAAATGATGACACTGACACTATAGAGACTTAGCTAATACATGGAAATATATTGTTGCAAGGTTTCAATGTGTTCTCTGAATTGACTTAATATTAATCTAAATAAGTAGAAATTAAGCATATAGAAACCCTTCCCCAAAAAATAATTCAAAGAAATAAAGTTAAGAGCAATAGATAAATTAAAGCAACATCATGAAAATATTTAATGAAAGCAGGCAGGAAGGAATAGAGAATTTTTTTCTGAAAAGATGATACAAATAAAATCTATTCATATATTTCACATCATCACTAGATAAAAACTGATATTCCAGAGATTGCTTTGATAGATGGTGAGAAATAGTATAATACAATAAATAGAACATATCTTGTAAACATTGTCTACATAGACATCACTGTCTTGTTTTGTTAGACTTACACTATAGAAATGGTTTGGAACATTGGTAGAAATCTATATGCAATAAATGTTTTGATTATTTAATATGGTACTGATAGTATGGTTCTTTTCTTTTATTACATTGCTTTAAAAAATTTATATATTAAAATTCTAACAACACAATAACTTTGTGGTGTGAATCATTTTCTTTATGCTATAAGTTGTTGAAATAATTTTTCCAAATACTCAAAGTAAGCTTCCAGTTTCCTTATTTTCTAGGAGGAGGATATGGTGTCTGCCCAAAGAAGAGAGGATGCATCAGATAGGCGCTTACATCAGTTACAATCTAGTATAAAACAATTAGAAACAAGGTAAATTGGTAAATACATCTAGTGTTGTCTGTGTTCTTCAAAATATATGCCACGGTAGAATTTTAATTTATATTTAT